ATATATATATAATAATAAAATGATTCGGATTGTGATATATGATGCCATTTTGGAAACAAGCGAAATTTACCAAATATGGATAATCTGACTTTTTTGTGTGCGTCAAAAAATGTTGTAGGGGGGGACAACGACGATCCAACGGTGGAGATTCAATATGCTTCAATTCTTCAGAATTGGGAGTGGGAATAGAATACGTACACCGACTATTGGAAAGATAAATTATTAATTCATAAACAATTCAATCGGAGAATAGTGCAATTAATTAATGGAATGGTCAAGCTTGAGAAAAATAAAATAAAATAAAATCATATTGTAACAATGGGATCGTATAATTATATGCATTAAAATTCAATTTCTTATATGGTAGTTGATGGGTGTCTTTTGGCCACCATATAGAAACGTATCAGGGTCGGTATTAAGGTCCATTTGGTTGATAAGATAAGATTAATTAAGATAAGATTAAATAGTTTAATGAAATCTCAGTTATTTGATTGGAGCTTGCGACGTTCAACGAAAAAAACACACTAGGATGCAAGATAAGGCAAGATTATATTATTTTGGCGGGTCTACCCGACAATTTATTGGGAATACTAAATATCTTGGCAACTAAACGGGGCCGAAGGGTATTGCGTGTGTGTGTTTCTTGTGTATGTGTGCCCGATCGATAGAGAAAGGAGGCTGGTTGGTGGGTTTGGGCGAGAGAGAGAGAGAGAGGTGGGTTGATGGGCTTTGGGCCTCATCTCTGGCCTGTTTGAGGCATCATTTGGACTCATTTAAAACATAATTTTATGGTCTTGGTGGTCTTGCAATCTTTCAACCTAGTTTTTCACTTCCCTCATTCCAAAAGAGCTAATTGCATATAACCCCCTGTGTAATTTCGAATGGCTAAAAAACCCCCTGTGTTAAAAAAATTAGCATAAACCCTCCTATGTTGTTTTATACGAAGCACACTGCCCCTTTCGTTAAAATTAGCTATTGACTTACATACAATGACTAATTTACCCTTACGAAAGAAACATGAAATTGTAAAAAAAAGGGTAAAAAAAGGAATTTCAAACAAAACCCAAAACAATCTTCCCCAACACACTGGAAAATCTAATTAAAAAAAAAGGAAATCTTAAAAAAAAACAGTGTGAAAAAAAAAATGAGCTATTGTTTTTTTTTCCTATTTTTTGAATAATTCTTCACTCAAATCCTCCCCAAAACATTCATCTCCTTAGATTTTTAATAAATTTTCAGTAATCATTCCGCACAACTCGCCAGAATCGAAGTGTTAGTGTTCAATTTGGCCGGAAAATGTTTGCCCACATCGAATCTACCTTTAACCAGGCCCCCACCCTTATTTCTCGCCGAAATAACTCCCGTAGTCGGATCCGGTTCTTCTCGCCGGAAAAATGTTGTTGAAGGACGCATGTGCTGAAAATCCTCCATTACCGATGAACGGCGGAGGGCTGGGGGATTCAAGCACTTGGCGTTGGTGAAGAAAACTTGTCGGTGGAGGAGAAGATTGGAGAAGGCCAGTGGTGGGAGGAAAGGGGCGGCAGTAGGAGGAGGAAATTTGGGAAGAAGACAAGTTAAATTGAGATCTATTTTTTTTTCTTTCTAATTGAGTCTATTTTTTTTAATTCGGCTGTAGAATTTTTGTTTGGGTAAGAAATTTTGAAAATTATAATTAGATCCAAAAGTTTCTATTATTTACATTTAAACCCAATTAGATTTATGTTTATTTATAAAAGAATTTAAGAGGGTATTTTTGACTTTTCACGTTAAAAATTACACTCTCAGTTACACAAGCCGCGCGTACAACACACGACATGCTGTCAAGGACTTTTTTGCCTTTGACTAATTTTCATCGAGGGGTTCCTGCTAATTTTTTTAACACGAGGAGTTTTTCGACAATTCGAAATTACAGAGGGGTGGTTCTTGCAAAAAACTCATTCCAAAATGTCTGCCCATAATTTGTTCCTAAACAAATATCCAAATGCCAATTTTACCGATCATTAAAACCCTTTTCATCATTCTTCAAACAAGGAAAAAAAAATATTCATTCAAATCACAATTTGTAATAAAACTCCTCCTCCACAACTAGTCCTGGTCCTTCGTACAACATTTCCGTGCACTTTCCGTGCCACTTTCTCGTGCACTTTCCGTGCACTTTCTGTGCCACTTTCTCGTGCACTTTCCGTGCCACTTTCTCGTGCACTTTCTCAAAAGCCACATGCTGATAGAGATCACCAACAAACACGTCCCCACATCGGTCAGCACAGCGGCCCACACGAGGGGTGGCCCGCAATACCGAGCCCGATAATGGAGATCTTTGTCGAGATCGATATTACAACATTTTCTATTATTTTTCTCCGAACTTTTCTCGCCATCTTATATGCCTTAGGGATCCGACGGATGTCGTTCGACATGAGGACCACGTCGCCCGTCTCGGTGGCCACCCCCATCGAGATCCCAATGTCTGATGTGGCGAGTGCGGGAGCGGCGTCGTTCACCCCGTCCCCTATCATGGCCGTGGGGCCCGTCTTCTGGAGTTATTTTACGATTCTGTCCTTGACGTCCTCCGGCAAGAGCTCCGCGCGTACTTCATCTAAACCTCCTCCTAACTAATGATAAGAAGAAAAAAAAGAAAAAAGTAAAAACTTATTAAGGTGAACAAGATTCTGTCAGACGATTGCGTAGTAGTCAGAATGGCGAAACTCGTAGAGGATTCGCAGAACAATAAATCGAAAACTCAAAGAGTTATCGACTAATGCGCAAAATACTACACACCTGGTGAGTAATATATAAATGTCAAAATATTATTGATCATGTAATGTAATGTAATTGAATTTAATATTTGTTTTAAATTTTAAATATGTTGCAGCTATAGTAGTGATATCGGCATCTTTGGCGATAGTTCCTTTCTTATTACATGTACAAGACACGAAAAAATGGTACCATTTGGCTCTCGTAGTACTCGTGAGCGGTTGCCCGTGTTCGCTTCTTCTTTCGACACCTGTCACGATGTTCTGTGCATTGTCGAAGGCGGCAGGTGATGGTGTTCTGTTCAAAGGAGCCGAGCATCTCGCGACGCTTGCTCGTATTAAAATAATGGCATTCGATAAAACGGGGACCATCATTAGGGGGGAATTCGCCGTGTTGTTTTTCAAGGATTTCAAGCATCGAAAGCAAATCGAGCCAATCGAGCCAGGTGTGATAAAAATATAATTGAATTAGTTCTTTAAATATTAAAATAAGATCATAAAAAATATAAATAATTTTTGATAGAGAATATATATATATATGACATATTATAATTATTTAAATATGTTTCTAAATTCAAGTCATATATCCACAAAATAAACGATTCGTTTTATATTAAAATAAAATATTTGGTAAAAATAGTAGGTTCTTCAGTCATATTTTTATAAGTTATATATTGGTTGCAAATATTATATTTAAATTACAAACTTTATTATTTATGGAAAAAAATCATAATTCATCAATAATAATTCTAACAAAGGAATATTCCATCCGTTTTTTAAAAAAAATCGTTAAAGTTAACGGATTTATAGAGATGAAGTATGAAAATGAGATAATTAAGACACGAGGGGCCAAATTGGAATTAAATGTGAAGATGAGGACCATTAATGAGATTTGGCCTGAAATATATAGGGCAAATGTATCAAAATTCATGGGCTTATTCAATCTTAGTTGGGCTTTGTGTATTTAAGTTTAAACTGGACTGTGAAAACGTCGTCGTTTCCTTAATGGGCACTTCTAATATATGGACTTTGAAGGGTTAAATCACAAAAATGCCGATGACAAGGACACTTAATTTAAAGAGGAACATACAATTTTTTTGTCTTTCAAATAAATCCAGCTCACTCAAATTTATTTACAAATGAGGAAAATCCTTTTATATATACCAAAATTACCCCCCAATTCATTGAAACCCAATTCAACTCTAATTTCATGATTTACATCCTAATTTAGCCCAATTTCATCAATTAACCAATTTTAACCATAATTTCAATTTTGACCCCAATTTTCACCCGCCACCACCGGAGACCGCTAGTCGCCGCCGGAGACCACCGGTCTCCGGCGTTGACTTCTTTTTCTTAACTTTTTTTCCCTGAAATTTTTTTTCCGGCCGATCAACTGTCGTTGACCGCCGGGTCTCCGGCGTTGACTTTTTTTTTTCTTATATATATAATTTTTTTTTCTTAAAAAAATATTTTAATTAATATTACTGTCTTGGCTGCTAAATTACTGTCTCCGGCAGTTATTTAACTGTCGGAGACAGTAATTTAACTGTTAATTGACTTTTTTTTCTTCAAAAATATTTTAATTAATATTACTGTCTTTGCTGCTAAATTACTGTCTCCAACATTTATTTAACTGTCGGAGACAGTATTTTAACTGATAATTGACTTTTTTATTCTTAAAACAAATATTTTTAATTAATATTACTGTATTCGTTGCTAAATTACTGTCTCCAGCAGTCATTTAACTGTCGGAGACAGTAATTTAACTGTTAATTGACTTTTTTCTTTTTGAATTTTTTTTTCTTAGAAAAAAATATTTTAATTAATATTACTGTCTTGGCTACTAAATTACTGTCTAAGACAGTAATATTACTGTTTGGGACAGTAATATTATGAATAGTATTTTCGGGTGTTGACCGGCGGTCTCCGGCGGTCAACGCCGGAATCTGGCCGGAAAAAAAATTCAGAAAAAAAATTATTTTCTGAAAAAAAAAATTTGGGGGTTAATATGATTTATTTGTTTAAATCCGGGGTCAATGTGTAATATTAAGGAAGTTAGAGCATAATAGATGGAATTGATAAGAATTATATTATAGAGGGTATTTTAGGCTAAAGACATGTGGATAGATTTAATTGAGAGATTGTTTCTTTTATGGACCAAAATGCATTTAAGTCCCATGTGATGAGCCTTTTTGCCATTCGCCCTAAATTGAAAAGTAAAACATATTCTACAATTTTAAAATATTAAAAAAAAACAATATGGACTTAAACCAGTATTGGTCTTGGAGTCTTTCAACCTTAGTTTTTGACTTCCCTGATATCAAAATGTCTGAACAAAATTTGTTCCTAAACAAATATTCAAATGCCAAGTTTACTGATCATTAAAACCCTTTTCCATCATTCTTCAAAGAAAAAAAAAGATTAATAAAAAATAAAATAAAAACTATTCATTCAATCACAATTTTTAATAAATCTCCTCCACAACTAGTTCCGGCCTCCTTCTCACAGCAACGTGTCTCGTGCTTATTGGCCGACGGCGATGTTTTTCCACTTAGGCCACCGTGTTTGTGTTCTCCGCAGTGATTTTCCATGCACTTCTTACCATGAATCTCATGCTCGTGTTCATGTACATGTTTATGTTCGTGTTCGTGTTCGTGTTCGTGTTCGTGTTTGTGGTCATGGTCATGGTCATGGTCATGGTCGTGGTCGTGGTCATGGTCATGTGGTGACAGTGAGGACTTCTTACAGCATTTTCCGTGCACTTTCTCGTGGGCCGCACCTCCGTTTCCACAAGAACCGTGCGTATGAACAACGTTCTGCGATTCCAAATCCTTAGTCACGACTTCTTGGCAACACTTATGACTAACAATAGCCTTAGTAGTCACCGCTTCTTGACCAGAACTCGAGCATTTCTTGTCCTTGCAAGAACTCGAACCCGATCCACATTTCGATGCGCAAGGACTATTTTTATTATTATTATTATTACTACTGCTACTGCACTTGTTATTTTTCTTGTGGGCATGACTATCATGTGCATGGTGATGATTACGATGGGCCCCACCACACTTTTGGTCATGCCCGTCGACCCCCCTCAAAAGCAACATGCTGTTAAAGATCACCAAAAGGCAGGTCCCCACATCCGCCAGCACCGCGGCCCACACTAGGGGGTGGCCCGCAATACCGAGCCCGATAATCGCGGCCTTTGTCGAGATCGATATCACGACATTCTCTATTATTTTCCTACGGACTTTTCTCGCGAGCTTGTACGCCTTAGGGATCCGGCGGATGTCGTTCGACATGAGGACCACGTCACCCGTCTCGGTGGCCAGGGCGGACCCCGCAACCCCCATCGAGATCCCGATGTCCGACGTGACAAGTGCGGGTGCGTCGTTCACCCCGTCCCCTATCATGGCCGTGGGGCCCGTCTTCTGGAGCTCTTTTACGATTCTGTCCTTGTCCTCCGGCAAGAGCTCCGCGTGTACTTCATCTAAACCTCCTCCTAACTAATGATGAGAAAAAAAAAAAAAAAAAAAAAAAACTTTGTAATTAAACATGATTTGTAGTTACTCCCTCCATTCCAGAATAAGCGTTGTTCTGGGTTGTTGCGTACTTATTAAGAAAACTGATTTGATAAATATGTGTCGATTTTCCTTTTCAACTAGTTAACACATATAGGGGCGAAATTGAGAAAATTATAATTAATACATCATTGGAATTCTAAAGTGGCGACGATTAATTTGAAACGGAGAGAGTAGTAAATTAACATTAGTATTTTAATTTTAATTTTTAAAATTTACCTGAGATTGTGCATGTTTGGCAGCTGCATAACTATCACCGGTTAGCATCACCGTTTTGATACCCATTGATTTCAACTCTTTCAACGCTTCTTTTGCTCCGGTTCGACATGCGTCCGATAGACAGAATATTCCAGATAGTGACGGCCCCACAAAAACGTAGCCGATGGACTTTCCTTCTACATTATAACCTTCTAATTTTGGGACTGCATTGATAAAAAAAAAAAAAGAAAAAAAAAATTAGTTCAAGATTATTTAAATTCAATATTAGTAAAGTTTAAAGATATACGAGTTTGTTTTTTTTACACCTGCAGTACTGCACCCTGCTCTTAAAGCAATTTTCCAATTTCCGACATATACGTCATTATCTTCGATTCTCCCATAAATCCCTTCACCGGGAAATATTTCGAATTTCTCCACTTGTTCAGATTTCGGGTCAACTGTATGTGATCTCGCAAAGTCAACGAGTGCAGCCGCCATCGGATGGCTCGATTTGCTTTCGATGCTTGAAATCCTTGAAAAACAAAAACAAATAACAATGCAATTAACTCCATATAAAAAAATGATTATCAGGAAAAAAAAAAAAGAAAAGAAAAAGAAAAGAAAAAAAGAAGTAGTTAATTAATTAATACCAATAGAGAAGTGTGTCAAGGCTAATATTGTCATGCAGTGATCTAAAATCGGACACGACGAATTCGCCCCTAGTGATAGTCCCTGTTTTATCAAACGCCATTATTTTTATACGAGCAAGCGTCTCGACATGCTCTGCCCCTTTGAACAGAACACCATCACCTGCCGCCTTCGACAATGCACAGAACATCGCGACAGGTGTCGAAAGAAGAAGTGAACACGGGCAACCGCTCACGAGTACAACGAGAGCCAAATGGTACCATTTTTTCGTGTCTTGTACGTGTAATAGAAAAGGAACTATCGCCAAAGATGCCGATATCACTAGTATAGCTGCAACATATTTCAAATTAAAAACAAATATTAAATTCAATTACATTACATTTACATTACATGATCAATAATATTTGGTATTTATATATAACTCACCAGGTGAGTAGTATTTTGCGCATTTGTCGATAACTCGTTGAGTTTTCGATTTATTGTTTTGTGAATCTTCTACGAGTTTCGCCATTCTGGCGACGACGCAATCGTCTGTGATTGCCGTGGTTTTGACAGTTATGTAGCCTACAAAAGAATGTGAGCTTCAATTAAATTAAATTAAATATGGGAAAATTACAGTTTTCACCCCTCAAATTTTCACTGATTTCACATTTGGCCTCCCATGTTTCTAAAAAATATTTTTGGTCCCTCATATTTCAATAATTTAACATTTTCGGTCATTTTCGTCGATTTATCGCTACTCTGTCGATTTATCCTTCATTCCCTTATTACTAACATAAAATTGACGAAACTGACTAAAAATGTTAAATTTTTAAAACACGAGAGAATGTATTTTCTATAAACATGAGGGACCAAATGTGAAATCGGTGCAAACTTAAGATAAAAGTTTAGATTAATGTAGCCTACAAAATATTTTTTTTTTTACCGTTAAGATTAATGGTACTCGCCCAAACGACGTCGTCTTTTTGCTTGGCGACCGGAAACGATTCTCCGGTCAGGAACTTCTCGTCGACTTCGCATTTCCCGTCGACGACAACTCCATCGATCGGAATCACTTCGCCGGCCTTCACAGCTAGAATACTGCCCAATTTGACCTCGTCGGCGTTGACTTCCTCCCCTGTTTCCGCTAGTACAGCTCTTTGTGGCACCACGTTAACCAATGACGACATGACAGCTGTCGCCTACGTTTTTAAACATTTAAAACAAATAAATAAATAATAAATTAATTTAAAAAAATATTTTTTCTTAATTCATACCTTGTGACTAGCCCTAGATTCCAGCCACTCTGCAATTGTGAACAAGAACACAATCGTTGCAGCTTCCCAGTAATCATGAAGCGCGAGTGAACCCGAAACTGTGAATTATTAATACATTAATTAATTAATTAACTTATTTTGCTTATACAGTTAAATCTCTATAAATTAATACAGTTGGTACTAGCAAAATTCTATTAATTTAGCGAAATATTAAATTATTGAACTAATAATTTAGTAGGTTTTTATCGATTATTAATTTATTGAGGTTCTACTGTATATTTATTAAAATAAAATTGAAAAACATTGTGTAAATTAAAATTACCTGCAATTAAGACGAGGATGTTGATATCGAGGGTGAGATTTCGAACGGCGGCGAAGGCCTTGAGTAAAACGGGCAAAATGCCGACGGCGATTGCAGCCACGGCCAACCATCGAAGGGGGTTGTAAAAGTACTTCAAAAACGACAAAAGAAGAAGTGTGCCGCAGGCAATTGCATACGGGCTTGGCCATTTGTTCTTGTAGTTCGTTTCTCCAAATGCTCGAATATTCGCCTCCAGCCTCGCCTGGTTCAACGCTTTAACTGAAACAAAACAACGTTGGACGAACAAAAAAATAAGAATCTTTTATGTAAGTTATTTCCCCATATTCTTTTTTTTTTTTTTAACTTTTGCTTTTGATTCTCTTAAAATAAGCTGATTTAAGGAATAATTTTAAAAGCACCCATAAACCCGAGTACCTGTTTTTTCTATTTTAATTGATTTTCCAGCTAATTTGCAGACACATCCAACTTTTTAAAAATAAGCTCATAATTCTAACTTCACTCGGAATCACCAACTTCTACTTTTAAATATGCTTTTGCAAACACAAGCGTAGTTGCAATTATGCGAAAAACAATTAGGAATTAGGAGATTTTACCTTCGTGAAAAACCTGTTCGAAAAATAACAAATCTCTAATTATATATAGATTATAGATACGGTAAGTTTTTTTTCAAAAATGGTGGGGGCTATGGCCCCTATTGAACTAGCCTTCATACACACACATATATATATATATATATATATATATATATATATATATATATATACACATGCGTATACATATATATGTTTGGGTCATGTGAAAAGGGAAATAGCTAGAAAACAAGAATTGCATGCATCATCATGCAACAAGAGGCACTAACTAGCACCAAACTACAGGCTTAGCTATCACACTATTTATCAGCTTAAAAGTTTCAACTTTCATCAACCCAACTTTTAATTTGTCATCAAATTAAATGTTTTTTTTTTTTCATTTTTCCGATCCACCGCCCTTATTTGCTCGTGAAAATACCAAGAACACCGCCGTAAGACAACGTTAAATTCAAAACCAAACAACCTAATTTCCATCTAATATTCTTGTCCTTTTTTTTAGGATAAATATTCATTTAACTAAGCAAAAGCATAAAAAAAATGAAAAATGAATTATTAAAGAAGAAGATTAATTATTAGTTACCTATTTGAATCTGCGAAATTAGCAAGGAATCGTGAACAACGACCACCGTCTTCGTGGGTACAATTACCGAGAAACCCTTAACCCCGTCGAGCGAGTTAAGGATTTTTTCGATCAACGGAACTTCGGAAGTGCAGCAAAGTCCCAACACGTCGAAGTAGCTCTTTTGAAATTTCTTGCCCACACTTTTTCCATTGGCCTCCATTCCCACCTTTAATTTAATTTATTGAGTTTTGTTACAGAAATATAATTAATTACATCGGAGAAACTCTAATAACAAACATAATTAATTTTAATTAATATCCTAATCCCCACCACAACAGGAAATTAAAAAAATAAATAAAAAAAAATCAGCAAACCAGCTGGACAAAACTTTATCTGTTGTAACTACCAGAATACTGTAATGGAATTAAGCAGTTAATTCATACTCTTATAACCAATACACACACACACATATACGTACATATATATTGTGCATGTGCATCTAACTACTATATATATATATATATATATATATATATATATATATATATATATATATATATATATATATATATATATATATATACACATAGTTGTGTGTCTACATCTTTGTGTGTAACTAACAACATGCGAAAAGCACATATAACAAAAGGAAACAAACCTTTTAATTTGGGGATGAAAAAATGGCGATTTTCTTGAAAGATGCCTAAAGAATGTGATTCAATTTGTTTGTACTAAAGAATATTTATTATTGTGAACAGAATTTCAAAGTATATATATATATATATATACATATATGTGTATATATATATATATGTTGTAATTGTGTTGTAATGGAGTAAAATCTGTCTGAACATTCTGTGTCGTGGAAGAGACATATATAAATAGCTTTTGAACTTTGCAATAAGTTGGAAAGAACTTTTGATGGAATCCACATGTAAATTGCACTATCCGGGGAAGTTTTATTTTATTAGCATTTACTGTACACTTTTTTTTTGTGCCTTCATTATTTGTTAGGTACAAGAAAAATCGGATGGATCGAATCGGAATTAGTATTTTGTGAAATTTTTTTTTTGGAAAATTAAAAGTTGATTTTGGTTTTAACACCAAAAAATTTCGGGAAATTGAAAATTGTAATGTAAAAAAATTGTCATTTTCTATGGGAATCGGCAGAATTTGAAAATACCAGTTTGTTTTAATATTGATGTCACAAAATATGATTTTTGAAAATAAATAAAGCTGGAGTTATTGGAATTGTTTTTGGAAACAAAAATTGGATCGAAAATCAGAATCATTTTGAGAATTTGGATTGATACTTTTTTGTTGCAAATCCAATTTATTTATTTTTAATTAAAATCGGTCGAATTAGAAAACTCCATTCCAATTTCTACTTGAAATTAGGTCTAAAAAGCATCTTTCTTTACGTATTTTTGAATAAATTATATTTGCAAAAAGTGACAAAATTATTGTTGCAGCTTTTTTCTTTTCCCCTTTTCTTTTTCCCTTCCTAACAATATATTTGACAATCATCTAATTATTGGGCCAATCTTACCAAATTGGACAATTAATTAGACCTGGTATATTTATTGTGTAGCTTTCAATTTCAATAAAAAATATGTATTTAATTAATTAATTAACATCTTACAGTTTGCATCACTGTTAGGTTCAGCAGTAGCAGTTTGCATCATTGTTAGGTTTGGCAAAACTATAATATAGACCTTTTTATTTTAATTATTAAAAAAAATGGATTTGATTTTTTTAATTAAAAAAATAAAACTAAGAAGTCGCGTGAAAATCGTTTTTCTGATAGAGTAATTTATTTACTATAAATTCATATAATTAATACTAACTACTCTTGCTATATGTAGGGACGGCAAGATAGCGTATATATATTTGGTAGGGATTGCAATGGTTCGGTTTTAAGTTGGGTTTGACTAAACTCGAGATTCGACCCACGAATAATATATAAAATTCATATGCGACCCAACCTATCTTAGTCTAGACTTAGAGGGTGTTTGGCTAAACTTATTTTAAACAGCTGATAAACTGTTACGTCTGATAAGATGTTTTTAGAGCTGATAAGTTGTTACATCTTATTTTTATGATTAATTTTTAGAGTGTTTGGATAATGAGCTTATTTCTTATTTTTACTCATTATAAGATCTTAAATAAAAAGGTGGGGTAGAGGTACTTATTGAAAAAGATCTTATTTGGTCTCCAACAGCTTATTTTAAGAAAAATTAAGATCTTTTTCTAAAAATTTACCAAACACTTTGGAAGAGCTTATAAGCTCTAAAACATCTTATAAGCTCATTTTAACATATTATAAGCTTAGCCAAACACCCTCTCAGATCCTTCCAGACCCATATCTGAGTTAAACGGTTCTGAACTGTCAGACCCGTTAAAATCAAACAAAAAAGTTTAATGTTCTTTATCTTTCATAATATTTTGCTTGTATATTTTAACAAAAGAATCTTGAAATTAAAATACAATATTTTACAAGTGATTCAAAGTGAATAATAAACTTATCTAATTAATTATATTTTTAAATCCTACGGTAAATAATATTCAAAAGGCAAGACTGCTAGCGGCGCTCGACAAGTAATTGATATGACTTGCGATACATTAGATTCGAAAAATTGAAACGATGAAGAAAAATAGGTAAAATGAGAATAGACGCGATGAAAATTAGAATTTTGATAAATGAAATTTAGAACTAGTATTTACACGGGTCAATTCCAATAAGATCCGTAACCCGACCCAGTACCATCCGATTCTAGAAACTAAAACTCATTACTCAATCCAAAACCGTTTAACTTACTCATACCCGCCCCAAACGAGTCGGTTCCGGGTCTGAGACCCGACAAACTCGTACACCTCGCCATCCCTAATTTTTGGGGTAGATTTGTCAAAACTTGATTTTTTTTTTTTTATATATATAACTTTATTTTTTGATTATACAAAATATTGTCTGCGTCATCAATTGGATTCTTGATTCGAATCGAGACAATATTTATATGACAGATCAACATCTTAACAATATTTCAATAAATGTTTTGGCCAAACTTGGTTGCACAATCGGTTCAAATATTCTATGTACTTGTTATTGAATGATTTCAATGTTTCCCCTAAAATTTTAATGCAAGCTCATCAATATGGTTAAGTCCGTATCTCCAAGTCTAGACCTTCGTACCTACTGAATCTGTTTTATTAATAATTTTTGGACTCATTGTTACGAATTTAATTTATATATAACTGCGTCATTCTTCAGTTATCCGTCGAATATTTAAAGTTTGTAAGCTTAGCTCTAGATGGCGTTTGTAAAAACCTTCAAGAAACAGCTTTCGAGCTTTTTATTTTTATTTATAAAATGATTTTTAAGCGTGAGCAAAACCAATTTCTATTTTTGTTTCTCTTAAAATAAGCTGTTATATTTTAGGTCCAACTGAATTATTTATTCACCCGGTTAACTCAAATTCTCCTACGACATTGGCAAACACCATTCAATAAGATCCGTGCCCATTCTTTATACGTTCCATGGTTTATATATATCTATATATATATGCGCATTGGAATCAATCAATTAAATTATTTTCTTTTTAATTAGTGATACACTAATATAGATCTCTTCAATTTTTTTTTAGGGATCAAAGGTCCCACACTCTTTGAATTCTTATGAATAATTACATAAAAATTAAATTAAAATAAATGTTCGTACAATTACAATTTACAACTAGTTTCATAATCTCTTTTTTATTTTTTAAATAATATATCTAGTTTTCCTCTCAACCTTTTTTTATTGGTTCACTTTGTAAAAGCTTAGATATAAAGTTCTTTATTTCTCATTTATGATCTTCACTTGAAGACTTTCAAGTTTATTTTTATATTAATTCGCATATTTAGCGTGCGTAAACACGTTTGCCTTCATTGTGATCTATACATTAGTATTTAGTAATGAAAAAACTGAAATGTTAAATGTCGTTTCAGTTCTACTAATACCGTTTTGACTTAGAACATGATTTTGACACTTTTCTAATTTGAATTTGGCAAAATTCAAAAGATGGATATCGTAGTCATTTGAGTTAGCTTTCCAATCTAACTTGAATCAGCTAGATTGGATGTCGGGTGATAAAGTTACACATGAATTAGTTACATTTTAAATTTTACATAATTTAAAACATCAAAGTTGTGGGCAGTGTTCATTGATTCATGCATAACTTTCTCAACCGACATCCAATCTTGGCGATTCAAGTTAGATTAGAAAACTAATTCAAAGAACTGCAAATTCCATGTTCTGAATTTTGCCCAATTCAAACTCAAAAATGGTCAAAATCACATTTGAAGTCAAAACAACATTATTAAAATTGAAACGACATTTATCACATCCCATGAAAAAATAATAAATAAATTTGAAGATTAGATTGAATATTGAAAGAAAAAATAGAGTGGAATGACAAGAAAATCTTCAAATTAATTATTAAACAAAGTAATTAAGACGTATAAAGGAAGTTATTATCAACTAATTATTTTTTGATTATGATCATAGTCTTCACTTTCTACATAAAGTCCAAAACCATCCACTAAAGCTTTTTTTACTAGTGCTTCACTATTTCATCATCTTTAATGCTGCCCATGATGCAACCAATAATACATTTTATTTTATTTTATTTTGTTTTATTTATTTTATTTTTCCTTTGCTTTTCAAGCTTGTGTGCCATTTTCCTATTTATTTTTTCTCATTTATTTATGTATATATGGAGACATCTTTTTAGGGTGGGATTCAAATTAATACAAAACTATTTAGTATAGATATGTATATATACTATATAGTACCAAGATTTCCACCTTTTTAATATCTCATGAGATGCATAGAGAATAAAATAATTTCCACAATCAATTTCTCCCAATTCATCATGACTAACTGTTGGGAAAATTGGTTAAAAAATTGAGTCATGAACAATTTTTTATCAATGTTATTGTACGGTCTAATTGAGTATATAAATGAATTTTGGATTAGAACCAATTTTGTGGTGAATGAAAAAATTACTAGTCCAAAATATAAGGAAAGTGGGATTTGAGTTATCCCACATTGGAAAAGTAGAGAAGTACTGAGCTGTATATATATCAAAATATTGGGACGGGCCAAAAACATTAGATCATGGGCTTTTAACCCATTGGGCCCTTATTACTCGAAGCCCATCTCGATTGGTCTGACTGGTCTGAATTGGTGCGGCCGAACCAATGCAAACCATTCGGCTCAACTCGAAATGGTGCAACCACTCCCAATTGGCTCAACTCGAAATGGTGCAACCATTCAAACAAAAGGTACCTTTTTGCTCCAAAGGATACTTCTTTTCGAACCTTATAAATAGACCCTAACTTTCCCAAAATTCCACACTTCAATCCAAAAACAAGCCTACTACATATTAAGCCTACCCTTCACAGATTCTCTCGAAAAGTTCTACACAAAGTACAGTTCGTCGTACTTGGGATTTGGAGTGCTCCTATTCCAAGTTTAGCCGTTGTATCTTGGGAGACGATTTCCATTTAATCCGTTAGCACCGTTGCGGGGAAATTTCGTCTTAAGGACAGAGTCAACTCGCCTCGGCTAATATTTTCGTATTTTCACTAATTAATTTGTTCAACCAATTTACTAAATTCACTACCCGTTTTATGTATCGGGAACAACAATCTTAAGACGAAATCTTTGTGATTTAGTAAATTGTGTTTTCTGCACACGTTGGTAAACGAGATGGAGAAGAAGATAGTCTGCCAAAAATCAAGA